GATATACGGACCCTGCTCATCGACTTATTGAAGTATTTCTTAGACTGGGTTATCATTTCTAAATAGGGCCTGAAGATGAACACGCAAGGGATATGCGGGGTCTCCATAAATACATAGCGGTTGGCCATCGGGTGTGAAACAGTGTTCCTGAAGATCATTCAATAGATCTGAATGTGCCAACATACTAGCATCATGTTTTTATCCTTCTGTAAAAGAATAAATAGATTGTTGATGAACACCTGCACTGTGCAGGTTCCATATAAATTAAGCCTTCATGGCAATGCGCCCCGATGCATCCTAATTTATTAGTTTATTATGTCTAATTCCAGACATTTTTTCTCATCAGCGAAAAGTGCTGCCACTAAATGGGTTAACTTAATTTATCTAACATTAAAGTTTATTTCGAATTACTCATGCTTTGGAGGTTGGCCTTGGGTACATTCTTGAAAGATTACCCTGAGTTTTAAAATGTCTTACCAACTGGGCAATAAATGTGCCCTATAATCCCATTTGGAAGAGTTACGGACTGAAAGTTAGTGCATGTACGCGTTTATGACCATTGTACACAGATTTTTGTAGCTTCCCAGGTCTACTTATTGATTGCACAGTTCCATCAACAAAGCCAATGCAATTATTACTAAGTGCTGCCCTTTGAAATGAATTGCGTTGGCATATGCTTGGAGGTTTTCAGGATGAAAAAACATTCCATTCCATTCCACTGAGAAAGCCTGTGACCATGTTGATTGTAGATGTAATCCACAACGACATTAGTAATCATACTTATTTCTGGAACTGTTCTGCCAAAAAGTGGAATCATATCGGAGTAGCGACAGGGGTAAGTGAATCGCTTTAAAACGGAACAATAAACCTTCGATACCGTTTGCCTTTTTTCCTTGGGGACAAATAAACCAATCTGGTATAGCCAATACCTCTGCCAGTTGGGGTATATCCGCTTTTCTGAAACGGAATTCCGCTTCAAATTCAGTGTCGTCAATTTCGTCGAAAGCAAATCTTTCATATTCTTTATAAGGGAACTCTGGATTTTGAAAAAATGTGCATCGTAGAGCAACATATTAAACTCTTCATCATCAATTATATAATTTAAATTAAATAGCTATCTATCAAAATCTTTCTTGCCTTCTTAAACGTAGTCATAATAAAGTTTCGTAAACTATTTTTTACACCGTCGTGCTGATTGTTTTGAAATCGTAAATTTCCCGCGCAGACGACGTCGACGCGCCTAGATTCAGACCTCCGGCGCGGCCGCATAATCCCCATCCTCTGATCACAAGGACGCAATAGAACATGAACGACAGCACTCAAAGACATCGGTCGTTGTCCCAGGTGATTCCATCATAAAACATATGAACAGCTGGGAATTATCAAATGCGGAACAGAACGTGTCAGTTAAGTCTTTTTCTGGTGCGACTGCAGTCGATGACATGCGGGATTTTTAAAGCCAACTATCCGTACGCATCCCGACAAGCTGGTTATACATGATGTACAAATAATGTTCGCAGTTCGATAAAGTTACGGAACTAGCACAACAGTCTAAACAAGAATCAAACCACATAAGAATATAATCATCCCCGCCTTGGTCACAAGAAGTGATAGTCAAGAATTTGCAAGGAAGGTAAAAGAGACTAACATTAATTTGAAGTCAAACTGTAGTAAAAAGAACTGGTCATTCTTACAGTAGATAACAGCAACATAAGTCGTTCACATTTAAATCATAGGGGCTTAAATTAACCATGGGGTTCAAATATTAATCACGAAGTTAGTGCCTTGTTACAGGAAATATTTTAAAATCTCAGGATTGAAATGATGAAAGGCTGAGGAAAAGTGCTCATGAGATCACGTTTAATATTCCTGAAACAAGAGGTTTTAAAATGGCTATATTTAACGTATACGTAGTCAGCTTAACAAAACATGATGAAATTCGTTTATTATTGCATAAAAAAACTTGGTGTCTTGGCACTTAAAGAAACCCTGCTTGACTCTACCATTTCTGATGAGCTTATCAGTATAGATGAGTATGATATATTGCGTGCTGATCGAACACGAAATAGAGGGGAGTTTGCATTTACGTAACGTGTCACGTAAATTATCAATTTGGTGAGCAAACTGATGGAAAGGATTTTGTGTATCATCTGTAAACATTCTATAGATGTTGCGTGTTGGAAGCAATTTGGGAGGATGAACAGAAGAGGGCCAAGTGTACTTCTCTAAGGACTGGCAGCATTTGAGATGAATAAATAACAACGTCCTAAGTTTCAAATGTATGGCATTTGGAAAAGAAGCGCTTGCACTATTACGTTTTTATCATTCATCCCAAATGTTGCCAGTCCTTAGAGAAGTACACTTGGCCCTCTTCTGTTCATCATCCCAAATTGTCTCAAAAACACAACATCGAGAATATTTGCAGATAATACCAGCCTGCATGACAGCTCTGTGGTGAAACATTAGATGAAGTGGGTGGAGGAGAATGCAGATGAAGACCTAATGAATGTCCCAAAGTGGCTGTCTGCAAATAAAGTTAGTTTTAATATTGCGAAAACTGAGTACGTACAGTATTGTATCACGGCATGAGATAAACAATATGGATGCCCAACCATATTCCTAATCGTGTTCATCTGAACATTTTGACAAGTGAAGATGGTTTAAAACATTGGTACCAATAATCATGCACGTGCATACATGTAAATATGAAAATCCGAAGTACACTTTACAGTATATAGTAATTATTGCATGTTGCAGGTTCAATATTTTTCAAATAAAATAAATTCGTACATACAGTGTATAAGGCAATTTAAATAAATGAGGTTTATTGGTATAATTAATCTCAAGTGGTTTGGTCGTAAAGCAGCACTTCCCTTGCGATAGTAACTTCTAGTATAGTAATATTTAAATAAGTTTTAGTATAAATATTTGCGTTTTGTAATATTAGCACACCTCTTTTGGAAATCAGCTGTGTGTTGAAAATATTAGTGTGTTATATATAAAGTTGCGCATCATGCGTAACATCGCATATAAAACACTGATATCCCACTCAGTCATATACCCAGTCACACGAACGAAAGGGTAGACATGGTAGGTATGATAAATACTGGATATAGCACATTGGCATAAATTAGTGTGTTATAGATAAGTTCTTTGTGTTCATTTCCCCCTCCTCTCCTAAAGAAGACTTACTCCTCGCTCCTCGGCTTACAGGCTCGCGTTTCCCTTAACTCACAGTCTGTGAGCCAATGGAAGCAGGACAGCAATTAAAATAGATTAGTATTTTCTGAAACGTTTATATCGTAATTACAACCTTGTGTCATCAACCTTGTAACATTCTTGTTTATCAAGACTGTACCAGACTTGTTAGAACAACATTGTGACAAGTCTGATAATGCCATCATGCAAGCTTGTTCCAAACTTGTTACAAACTTGTTACAACAACTGGGAACAAGCAATGCGAAGACAACTTGTTGACAGCTGGTGAACAGATTTGGTCAAGTATAGTGCGTGGAACGCGCGTGCGAGTAAAACCCGATATTTTTAAAAATTCAAAATAAATCTTTCTACTCGCCGTATTCAAAGAAAACTTGCTACATAAAAGCACAAAGACTATTTTACTCGTGTGGCCTTTGAGAAAATGACATAAAGGTTAGAAGATATTCAACTTTTTCTTGATATGAAATATGCAATGTTTGGTCTAGCGGTAAGCATAAACACATGATTGTTTCGGTTTGTGCAATGTTTTGACGGGATTTGACCACCTTCGGAAGATTATTTTGCAAGGATTTCAATGGTGCTTTTCGTTTCAAGTGGGAGTAAATACTCGCCAAGATATTTACATTAGAAGGCGATACCGTGTGCCGAGAAGTTAACCGCGTAGTCAGACATCGTAGTTTCAGCACAATTCGGAGTTATAACTTGATATACATCATGCTATTTCTGGAAATAAAATGCACAAATATATGCACAAATATGCCTGCTGACGCAAAATTTCTTTGTTCTGTCGATGGTTTGTTACCTTTATAGCATGACGTGTAACCAGAGATAGATATTCACGCCAAACTATCGCATAAAGTTATTTCATACATAATTAGCAAGAGCAGGGCATGTACATTCAATATTCTTCACTGTATATTCTTCATCAGCATTTTTCTTGGTTTAAACATCACACATAGACAAAAAAAAAATACTTTTGGCCTCATTTGGAAGCCTAAAATTTTATGCTGACACGAAAATGCTTTGTGGACTTCTAAGCGGTCGGCAGCTAATTACGTATGACTGGGAAAACTTCCATTTATAACAGACAAACGTGGAAAAAACTGTGAATAAAATAGTTCGAAATTATAAGAAAATACATTCAAATAACTTTTCACATAAGATTTCCCACCTCTCCCCCACCCAGTGATGCCATTATTTCACCTCATTTTAAAATTAATACAATAACATTGTGTTGGGGAAGAGGGAGGGTGTGGGGATCTACGATTTAACTATCACCGAGGCAAATCTAAATTTTACTAACAAATTATGTCCACGATTGTAATACGAAAGCACAAGTAACTTTTTCGAACACATGGTACTAACTTCAAGACGAAACCTTTCGCTCAAAATTTTAAGTTTCTTTTTCCAATTTTCAGAGAGCGAATTATCTCCACAAGCTAGATGTTTGTATTCACCGCTATAACAATGGCCTCCAACATTCAAGGTAAAATGTCTTGACAATCTAAAAAGTCCGTAGATTTCTAATACATGCAAAGACGGATGTCGCGATACTATCCACCTAACCTACTCTAATATATTTTTGTTTCAGAACTATGAACAAAAAGGGACAAAATACTATTTCAAATCGCGAATAGCCAGTAATATAAAAATACAGGTTTTTTTGGGTCATGCCTATGGTAGATTAGAAGAGATTAGAAAGGCCATCAACCATTACCAAATTTTTAGAAATTTGCACTGAAACTGCTAATTGGTCGGCGATGATAAGAAACAATAGTTCAATGGGTGATACATACCATACTTTAGGAGAATATCGTAAGGCCATTGACTATCATAAACAGCATTTAGAATTAAGCACTGCTATTGGCGATCGATCAGGAATAGCAAAAAGCAATGCCAATTTGGGCAATGCCTATGAGGGTTTAGGACAATATCAGAAGGCCACTGACTATCACAAAAAAGATCTAGAAATAAGCACTGCTATTGGCGATCGGTCAGGAATAGCAAGAAGCAATGGCAATTTGGGCAATGCCTATCATAGTTTAGCAGAATATCAGAAGGCCATTCACTATCATAAAAAGGATCTAGACATAAGCACTGCTATTGGCGATCGATCAGGAATAGCAAGAAGCAATTGCCATTTAGGCTATGCCTATGATAGTTTAGGAGAATATCAGAAGGCCATTGACTATCACAAAAAAGATCTAGAAATAAGCACTGCTACTGGCGATCGATCAAGAATAGCAAGCAGCAATGCCAATTTGGGCAATGCCTACGATAGTTTAGGAGAATATCAGAAGGCCATTGACAATCACAAAAAAGATCTAGAAATAAGCACTGCTATTGGTGATCGATCAGGAATAGCAAGAAGCAATGGCAATTTGGGCAACACCTATCATAGGTTAGGAGATTATGAGAAGGCCATTGACTATCACGAAAAAAATCTAGAAATAAGCACTGCTATTGGCGATCGATCAGGAATAGCAAGAAGCAATGGCAATTTGGGCAATGCCTACGATAGTTTAGGAGAATATCAGAAGGCCATTGACTATCACAAAAAATATCTAGAAATAAGCACTGCTATTGGCGATCGATCAGGAATAGCAAGAAGCAATGGCAATTTGGGCAACACCTATCATAGGTTAGGAGATTATGAGAAGGCCATTGACTATCACGAAAAAAATCTAGAAATAAGCACTACTATTGGCGATCGATCAGGAATAGCAAGAAGCAATGGCAATTTGGGCAATGCCTACGATAGTTTAGGAGAATATCAGAAGGCCATTGACTATCACAAAAAATATCTAGAAATAAGCACTGCTATTGGCGATCGATCAGGAATAGCAAGAAGCAATGGCAATTTGGGCAACACCTATCATAGGTTAGGAGATTATGAGGAGGCCATTGACTATCACGAAAAAAATCTAGAAATAAGCACTGCTATTGGCGATCGATCAGGAATAGCCAGAAGCAATGGCAATTTGGGCAATGCCTACGATAGTTTAGGAGAATATCAGAAGGCCATTGACTATCACAAAAAATATCTAGAAATAAGCACTGCTATTGGCGATCGATCAGGAATAGCAAGAAGCAATGGCAATTTGGGCAACACCTATCATAGGTTAGGAGATTATGAGGAGGCCATTGACTATCACGAAAAAAATCTAGAAATAAGCACTGCTATTGGCGATCGATCAGGAATAGCCAGAAGCAATGGCAATTTGGGCAATGCCTACGATAGTTTAGGAGAATATCAGAAGGCCATTGACTATCACAAAAAATATCTAGAAATAAGCACTGCTATTGGCGATCGATCAGGAATAGCAAGAAGCAATGGCAATTTGGGCAACACCTATCATAGGTTAGGAGATTTTGAGGAGGCCATTGACTATCACGAAAAAAATCTAGAAATAAGCACTGCTATTGGCGATCGATCAGGAATAGCAAGAAGCAATGGTAATTTGGGCAATGCCTATGATAGTTTAGGAGAATATCAGCAGGCTATTGGCTATCACAAAAAAAATCTAGAAATAAGTACCACTATTGGCGATTTATCAGGAATAGCAAGAAGCAATGGCAATTTGGGCAATGCCTATCATAGTTTAGGAGAATACCAGGAGACCATTGACTATCACAAAAAAGATCTAGAAATAAGCACTGCTATAGGCGATCGATTTGGAATGGCAAGAAGCAATGGCAATTTGGGCGATGCCAGTTATAGTTTAGGAGAATATCAGAAGGCCATTGACTATCACAAAAAAGATCTAGAAATAAGCACTGCTATTGGCGATCAATCACGAATAGCAAGAAGCAATTGCAATTTGGGCAATGCCTATGATAGTTTAGGAGAATATCAGAAGGCCATTGAATATCACAAAAAAGATCTAGAAATCAGCACTGCTATTGGCGATCGATCAGGAATAGCAAGAAGCAATGGCAATTTGGGCATTGCCTGTCATAGTTTAGGAGAATATCAGAAGGCCATTGACTATCACAAAAAAGATCTAGAAATAAGCACTGCTATTGGCGATCGATCAGGAATAGCAAGAAGCAATAGCAATTTGGGCAATGCCTATCATAGTTTAGGAGAATATCAAAAGGCCATTGACTATCACAAAAAAGATCTAGAGATAAGCACTGCTATTGGCAATCCAGCAGGAATAGCAAGAAGCAATGGCAATTTGGGCAATGCTTATCATAGTTTAGGAGAATATCAGAAGGCCATTGACTATCACAAAAAAGATCTGGAAATAAGCACTGCTATTGGCGATCAATCAGGAATAGCAAGAAGCAATGGGAATTTGGGCAATGCCTATGATTGTTTAGGAGAATATCAGAAGGCCATTGACTATCACAAAAAAGATCTAGAAATAAGCACTGCTATTGGCAATCGATCCGGAATAGCAAGAAGCAATGGGAATTTGGGCAATGCCTATCATAGTTTAGGAGAATATCAGAAGGCCATTGACTATCACGAAAAAAATCTGAAAATAAGCACTGCTATTGGCAGTCGATCAGGAATAGCAAAAAGCAATGCCAATTTGGGCAATGCCTATGATTGTTTAGGAGAATATCAGAAGGCCATTGACTATCACAAAAAAGATCTAGAAATTAGCACTGGTATTGGCGATCGATCAGGAATAGCAAAAAGCAATGGCAATTTGGGCAATGCCTATCACAGTTTAGGGGAATATCACAAGGCCATTGACTATCACAAAAAAGATCTTGAAATAAGCACTGCTATTGGCGATCGTTCAGGAATAGCAAGCAGCAATGGCAATTTAGGCAATGCCTATGATAGTTTAGGAGAATATCAGAAGGCCATTGACTATCACAAAAAAGATCTAGAAATAAGCAACGCTATTGGCGATCGATCAGGAATAGCAAAAAGCAATGGCAATTTGGGCAATGCGTATGATAGTTTAGGAGAATATCAGAGGGCCATTGATTATCATAAAAAAGACCTAGAAATATGCACTGCTATTGGCGATCGGTCAGGAATAGCAAGCGGCAGTGCCAATTTGGGCAATGCCTATCATAGTTTAGGAGAATATCAAAAGGCTATTGAATATCACAAAAAAGATCTTGAAATGAGCACTGCTATGGGCGATCGATCAGGAATAGCAAGAAGCAATGGCAATTTGGGCAATGCCTATGATAGTTTAGGAGAATATCAGAAGGCCGTTGGCTATCACGAAAAAGATCTAGAAATAAGCACTGCTATTGGCGATCAATCAGGAATAGCAAAAAGCAGTGCCAATTTGGGCAATGCCTATGAAAGTTTAGGAGAATATCAGAAGGCCATTGACTATCACAAAAAAGATCTAGAAATAAGCACTGCTATTGGCGATCGATCTGGAATAGCAAAAAGCAATGGAAATTTGGGCAATGCCTATGATAGTTTAGGAGAATATCAGAAGGCCATTGATTATCACAAAAAAGATCTTAAAATAAGCACTGCTATTGGCGATCTGTCTGGAATAGCAGGCAGCAATGCCAATTTGGGCAATGCCTATCATAGTTTATGAGACTATCAGAAGGCCATTGACTATCACAAAAAAGATCTAGAAATAAGCACTGCTATTTGTGATCGATCAGGAATAGCAAAATGCAATGCCAATTTGGGCAATGCCTATCATAGTTTAGGAAAATATCAGAAGGTCGTTGACTATCAGAAAAAAGATGTAGAAATAAGCACTGATATTGACGATCGGTCAGGAATAGCAATTTGCCGTGGCAAATTAGGAAATTCCAATCGATGTTTTGGAGAGTATGAAGTTGCATCATCTCACCTAATAGAATCAATTAGTTTTTTTGATGAAATGTTTTTAGGTTCAGTTCCCGAACAAAATCAACTGGCATTCGTGAAGCAATATTTCGATTCTCATACAATTTTAATGAGTTGTTTCCTTTCGTTGGAGCGCGCTGAGTCCGCATTATTAGTCATTGATCTTGGTAGGTCTAAAGAGCTCCACTGCTGTATTGAAAAACGTAGGAACTCTGTTGGTAAAGACTTGTTTGATTATGCCCGTGCGATATGGAATAGAATTGAGGCCAGGGATGAAAAAATAGAAATAGACGGACTGCGAGCACTTCTCCAACTACGAAAAAATGACGCCTCCATTTTAGTGTTCGCTTTTGATTTGGAAGGTGTTCTTAATGCTTGGGTTTTAACTGACAAAGTTATCTTCAGAAAAGTATTAGACGCGCATCGGGAAACATTTCTCCTGCTAATTGTGGAACTTCTTGGAAGGGTAGATGTTAATATTGATCGAAATTCTTCGTTTTACATGCTCGATTCAGTTGCTAATGCTAATATTCAAGTGATGTCTCCTTTTGAATTTCCAAGCGGACAGCCTTCCTGTAAAAACCTGGTTGAAAGTTCTGGTAGCTATAGTCATTTCTGTGAGCGAAAAATTTTAGAAATGTTGTTTAAACGTTTAGTTAATCCTGTAAAAGATCTTATTAAAGGCAATAAGCTCATTATTGTCCCTGACCCGCTGTTGTTTTTTGCACCGTTTTCAGCATTGATTGATGAAAATGGCTCATATTTATCCAACGGTTACAGTGTTCAAATTTCGCCTTCATTGCATACTCTTAAGTGTACGATGGAACAATCCTTTGACTCAAACTTTGGATTTGCTTTGTTTGTTGGTAATCCAACTGTTGGAAAAGTTAGTTTAAACGGAAAAGATGTTACTCCTGCTGACCTACCCAATGCCGCTGAAGAAGTAAAATGTCTCTCAAAGTTTTTCCAAGCAAGGCCTTTACTAGGACGCGAGGCAACAAAACAGGTAGTATTGCAGCTTTTAACTCGGGCTAGTATAATCCATATAGCTGCCCATGGAGAACCGACTCGAGGTGAAATAATGCTTGCTTCAAATTCTTCTCTTACTGAACAGTGCTCGTCTGTTGGTAAACCAGAATCACACCTTCTCACGCAGCGAGATATTCTAAATATTTCCGTGCAAGCTCGGTTGGTAGTTTTATGTTGTTGCCATACCGGGCAAGGTGAAATTACTTCAGAAGGTGTCATAGGTATAACTCGAGCGTTTCTTGCAGCTGGAGCGCGTTGTGTTCTTGCCACACTGTGGCCTATTAGCGATTATGCCACAAAGGAATTCATGGAGAAATTTTATGGTGAACTTTGCCAAGAAACACCAGTTTGTGAAGCTTTACGAAGAACAATGTACTTCTTTCAGACACATGAAAAAGAGGAGTACCGATCCAGTTGGATCTGGGCTCCGTTTACCATCTATGGGGAGGATGTGAAATTTGGAAAAGATGAGATTGAAAAAATTAGGGAAAAATCGCATCAGTTTTTTTCCGGTTTCGTCGTGGTATGACTATGATCTTCAAGTTCGTGACTAATTCACTAGCGTTTTCATTAACCATGCTCGAAATCTTCAGCAGGCATCACCCGCATCATTTAAACTTCATCGACCTTTAACCTAGTGTAATTCGTAATCATACTTAATTTTTTATTACCATGAGTAGTATGAAATATTTTATTAGTATGAAATATTTTATGTTGGGCATTATGGTTAAATGTAGCTAGATATATAAATTGTTATTTTGTCGAAAATATAATTGACTTTCTTCGGGAAAACTGTTGGTTTGATTGAGTTACGTTGCTGTTGATCGAATGTTTTAGCTTATGTTGTGCTTGACAATGGGCAGAAAGATATTTTTAATAAAAATAATGTCAAATTATTGCCGTCCCTGTTTGACAGGAATGTAGTAGAGCTTTGCTTCTGTTAATGGAAGAGGGGTTTCAAGACATTAAAGCTGCAAAGTTGCTGTAGTTGGTACGTGCTTTCGAGAAAGTGGCAGAGGAAAACATTTGAACTTGGAAGGTGTTGTGCAGAATTGTGTGTGCGTTGCCAAACGCAGAATCTGATATTGCGATAGCGCGTCCACCTATTTGCTGTAGTGTTCACGTTAGAAATTTAGCAGAGAAAATATATTTTAGCTTTGTGTTTGTGGTTTAGAGTTGCTTGTTCGTTGTTGCAGGATGAGCTCCACTTTGAATTCACTATAGGAGTAAATTGTTAAACACGTCCTAATTTATCAATACAATTAATTCGCGACCAATGTTGAGCCCTAACCCCTAACACTAACCCTAACCTCTAACCCTAATCTTACTCCAACCGTAATCTACTCTTTATTTGACACTAAACCTAATTTTGTTTTAAAATACAAATTTGGCATGTTATTCTGCATTACAGTAGGTGTTAAATTTATAATTATTTGGAGTCTGATTTACTTTATTTAAACTTCGGCTATAAAATAACGCTTTGTTGCGATAATAAATTTAATCAGCAAATACGACCAAATTTAAAATGGTCGGACGAAATCCCATTATTCTACCTTTGGTAATTTCAATTTTAAACAAATTTTGAAGAAATACTAGTCGTATATCTGGGAAAGGTTTGGGGAAGGGTTAGTGTTAGTGTTAGGGTTTGGCATGGCGAGTTAGAGTGCAAACTTTCAGTTATTGACATGTTTTAAATTTCGTTGTTAAATTAAATAGCGATAAATTTTTAAATTGGAATCCAAAATGAGAATAACAACACTATTCCCATCTATATAACTGTCTATTATTTCTTTTTACTCGGCGGAAAAGTGGGGTAGGCAGCCCTTACGCCTGGTCTGCGGTCTCTGGATATAAAGCAGGTACATTATTTTACATAGGTCAAGTCACTGGCAATAAAAGGAAGGCATTGTTTCGCCTAAGTGAAATCCATTATAAATGATCTAACGACAAGGGTTCCTTCTCTCGTGTGCCCCCTTTCACGCTTTCGCAATTGATGTTGTGCATGGTATGGATATATAGTTGATGATGGGTTAATTAAGTTATTTTAATGATGGCTTTTTTATAATAATTTCTACACACCTATTACACTCACCTTGCAACAGTAGCAACATAATGACTGCTCTGCTGCACTCTAAATACCCGAGTGTGCTACAACATCAGAATGGTGCGATCATTGCAGCTTCGTATTCAACGTAAATGCTAAAAACCATTGTTGTGTTCGGAAAACACCAAAATTACATCCAATAAGTGCATTAAAACAGCTATAACACTCATTGGGTGTACAGATATCACGACTGATAGCGTATTTGGTGTTTCCCTAACACACAAATGGCAAAAAAAACATTCACACTAAATCGGTCTCTACAGAGATGCAATGCATGATTACATGATCATTCTGTTGTTCTAGCAACACCCAGAAATTTGTAGTGCAGAAATTAGCCAAAAGTGAATGAAATGTAAGCAAAAAATTTAGTAAAGTTTGCAGCGAAAAAAGTACGGTAAAATGTTGGAAATTTAAATTCCTCAATATTTGGGTCAAGTTTGGGTCAATATTTGTGTCAAAGTGTCGGGTCAAAAGACAATAAGTGGTCAAGACATAGCTACATAGTTTGAATATTGATATAATAATATTCAGCCCATGCAGCAAATACTCTGTTTTCGTCACATAAATGGATGTAAAGTATATGTATATGTTTACTTTAAATTTCAATGTAGTTCTAATAATATTTTAAGTGAATATCTTAAAGTACAGCAGATCTTTAAAATATACACTTAAAATATATCCTTTACTATAAGTATTTTGCTCTCGTGCAATATACTTGAGTGTCACATTATGTATGTAGATGATGTAATAGAGTATTTGTTGGCTGCCTATGTTAAAACTTGTCTGGTGGAAGACACCGTGACAATGCGTTTCAAGTTTAATAAGGGTTTTTAATGCAAGATGGATAACATTCCTTATCCTCGTTTTTCTTTCCGGAACAAGCTAGGGATTTGGTTTTCACGGGAGCAAATTCCTAGGAAACAAATAGAATCAAGGGAAATCTTATTGAAATTAGGAGTTAAACTAGAAATACATGCATGCAACACTCGCCTATATTTTCCAAACATTGTTTCAACATGAAGTATTCGTAATTACGCAGGCTCGCGTAATTCCCACGTCATGTTAGCCATGCCAACACGATAATAAGGATAATTGTTTTTTTTTAAATTTTTTGTACAAAACTGAAAAAAATAAAAGAAACTTGAACACTTTTAAATACAGAACTTTATATATTCAATTTCTGAATATATTAAGTAGGTATATTATTTTTGCTTTCTATGGGCTTTATTTTAATGTAAAATTCAACACGAAACTCTTCGTAAAACTTTTTAAATGTGAATTGAAATTAACTGCTTTTTTGCCGATAAACTCTTCAACTCGAGCTCCAACTTATTACTCACACTTTGAAATGAAATAAATTTAATTCATACAGAACGCTCATGAAAATAATTTGCTTTCTTTTTTATCATGAACTTCTACAAAAGTTAATTTAACTAAGAAACTTTCGCATACAATGCATATGAAAGACTTGAACAACAAAAACAAAGTCCATAATAATACAAAGTCATACATAAACATTTGAAACAAACTTGCCTTATACTTTAAGATTTTTCATACTAAATCAATTCTTAATGTTTACGTTTAAAAATTGAAAAAAAGTTTTACAATTTGTTATGCGAAATGATTTTGGAAGCTTTCTTACATGTTTATTTATATTTTTGCCTCCTTCACTCCTGGCAAACAGCCATATTTTGAGATCAGTGAGATGACCACCCATACACCATGCGCCCGCGATATCTGATGAACTTTAGACTTGCTAGTGCGTTCCTTTCCCCGGGTGTAAATAGCCGGGCGGAATTATTACCCTCGCCCCGGGCTTACGCCTGGAACCGCGCTCGGCGCCGTTGGTTCGGAGAATTATCCATATATTTGATTCACGAGTGCACTTATTGGCGAATATTACAACAACGCTGCCTCGCGCGTTGTTCTAATTCAAAATTTCTTAGATTCACTGTTTCTTTGTATCAGTCACATAGTCTACAAATGTTTGTTGATATTGTTTATTACAACGATACACAAGCAAATTGAAGAAAGTTTATGCAAACTTGACAAAGAAAAAGCGATTAAATTCTTTTTGAAATTGATTGTAGGTATCAGATTTCATCATATTTCAGTCATGTATATATATCATTGCTATTTTTTCTCAAAGGCGATATGTGAAAATGACTTATCTTAGCATATGCTAGTGATAAAAAAAGTTTTCAGCTGAAAATTAAAGGTTTGTTTTAGGAATATAGCATTATATACAAAAAATTTTCAAGATCGCAAATTTGTATAAACTTTAATTGAAAGATGGAAACACCATACGTTGGAGCTTGTAACAGAATAAGCATGTTTACTTCCATGTGTGATCGACACACAAATATACCGATTGAGTTCTTTATTTGTGAGAAATAAAATAATAAACTTTATCCAACATTCCACAACGTGGTTAAAGTCGATGGTAGTGAACAATATGAAGCAAGAAATATAAGAAACACAAAAATTCAGGAAATATTTTCACGGAATCACATTCTGACAATACATTTGAACTATTAATCATGAACTCATATTACAGTATCTGATGACACTGCTCAGTATCTTATCCTGTAGTTGCGGAAAATGTCGGTGAAATTCAACTACCATTTTGCGACAAAGTAGAACATTGATGAAAGCATGTATTATAAACACTATCAACAAAATCTGAAACATTTGCTCCTGCCTTAACTTGGACGACTTGCAGAACAATACGTATTCTTCATTCGTGTGTACTCTGAGCGAACAACGAAATTAGGAAAATGAATTAATGTATAAAATAGCCTACTAGTTATAAAGATTAACACCTTCAGCTGACTATTTCCAACGGAGAATATTTCTGCCATGTCATTCTCGTTAATAAAAACTGCAAAATCGGCTGTTATTCAAGAAACCCAATTGTATTAAACAGACATGTAACATTACAAAGGAAACGAGACGGTTAATGTGGTATTACAAAAATCTGTACGCTCCAGCCGAGGATTAATCCTGGATTGAAAGACTAAATGTGAATAATTATTGTATTCGTTGGAGAAATATAAAACATCTGCTACAACTATCAAGTGTTGGTTCCTGATTTACATGTTTATAACCAGCCGAATGCAAATGTTTACTTTATGGAAAGAATTAAAGTTTTATTACGGTGCAACACTTGTCATTAATGGCACTAACTATAGATCATCTATGTATGCTTGTTTGAAATACGGAAAATGGCAGTCTTACTCCCGCAGTTTCAAACGTTTCCATATCAGGTGCTTCGAAAGCTTGAAAAAACATCCTTGTCGCAAAACCGTCTTAGAATCCGTATTAAACTATTGCGGTTATGAGAGTTTTTAAAAATATATGGTATGATCGGCTGAAATGAAAACAATCATTCACATGCGACTATGACTATGTGTACACGAATGTGCATGGATCAATTGTGGTGTTGCTTGTACAAATTAAAGAAATTTCTCAACGAAAACCCAATATCAGAAGAACTACAATTAGGACTCTGCAAAAGTGTACGAAAAGAATTTTTACAGTCCACAAGGCAGTACAAGGACGTTGTCGGAAAGTTGGTAAAGGTAGATACTGAGAACATATTATGCATATATCAAATTTAAATTAAATTTTAGAAACGTTTTCTTGTAATAATTGTTTAACATTCTACCATTTTATCGTCTTAAATAGTGAATATTACTAGAATAAATTACGAGAGATGTGTTAGAATTTTCAAGAGCTGCTGAAGCTTTAAGATATCTTGTAAAACAAAGTGTTGGTGGGATTTTTGTTAAATAATCGTTGCCATCTTCAAAGATGTGCACAACGTTCAACCAAAAGTGTTTCAAAAGTGAAGTTTTGTGTGCGTTCAGCCATTCGTCTCATACCTCTGATATTCTGACGCCTCTCAAACAATATATTATTTTATATAATATTATATTCTAATGTCTTTCAATATATATCTTAAGATCTACGACGTCGACGCCAGCTAGGACGTCAGGGCTAAGCAGAGGACTGGGACTACATTAGGACGACATCCTAGTCCCAGTCCTCTGCATAGCCCTGACGTCCAAGCTGACGTCGACGTCCTAGATCTTAAGCTATCTAATGTTAGAAGTTAATATAAATGTTATGAAAATCGAAATGAAAAAAATAACTTAGTTCGTATGTGTAAACGATAGAACGTGCTTGTAGTTGTAATGCACGTTTGAAATGTGTACACAAATGAATTTCAAATTGTTAATATAAATTCTGTTAAAAAGTCAAAGAGTCTGGTTTTGATAATTTTCGGTGAACGTGAATGGTCGAGCTATGGAGCAGGTATAGAGAATGCACTGCAATTTTTTTGGATTTTAATCAAATATAAAAGAGTGATTTTGTTGCCGTTTTTTGGAGTTGATTCAACACTTTTAGAGTTGATCCAAATCCTTTAAATTTACAGTGTGGTTGCCTCCATATACTCGGCTAATCATGCACGAACATTTTCATTTAGAGCTATACTCTAGGCCACTGATACACTGTCTATACTGTTAATTTATTCATGATGAAATCATTATCAACTTCAATTCGTTAATGACTTGGCAAATGGCTATCGAAATGGAATGAAGTGAAGCTAACGCACTGTCTTAGATTGGTGAATTTAAATAAAAATACCATTCAATGATAGTGATTTGGCTTGAGTTTGAAGCATGTTCAGACTTTAGATAAAGGTATTTCGCGTGTTAAATCTATTTTGTTTTCCTCTTGTCCTTCTATTTTAAGAAAGGACATCATCCAATTCATTCGCATATTGAATTCTAGACGTTTCTCCTAGTTCAGCGGGTGGGACCAATTTAGTTGGCACGATTCCTCCCGATTTAACCCTATCCGACCCTGAGAGATCTATCCTGGCAAAAGGTCTCAAATTTGTTCCAAGCCCTGGGTCCGTTGACTTATTTTCACTTAAAACATACACCGAATCCATTTTCAGACGAATGCGTCTGAAAGCACATTTTCACAATCAATCCTCGGTCCCTCACAAGGACGTTTTTCAGACCATCAATGCTAAAAAGTATTCCTGGTCTCCTTCGGAAGACCAAGATAGGTCCGTCGAACTATTCATTTGAAAATGTCGACATGATATAGAACAGTTCCCCAAGTTTGGGCCCAAAAGGCCACCCAACCTCACTGACATTGAATTTAGTGTCCTTCAATCACTTCGTGCTCAGGATGACATTGTTATCAAACCTGCTGATAAGGGGGGTGCCTGGGTAGTTTGGAGGGTTGATTTATAGCCGCCCCAAAAAAATGGGTGACACCACTTTTTACAACAGGGTTGACAAGGATTTGACCACTCATCAAACCACCATTTCCAAGACCATTCATAGCTTTATTGCCACCGGTGATCTCCCTGAGACAGCCCAAAACATCTTATCCAGCACACCTCGCACACCCTTTATGTACTTCTTTCCAAAAATTCACAAATCTGACAACTCATGTAGACCCATTGTCTCTGCTTGTGGTTGCCCCATCGAACTCGCTTACCATCCTATGTCAAGCATATCAAACATGCTCTCCAAATCTTTCAGAATATTCGTTTTCATGGCACACACAAATTCATCTTCATCATGGACGTAAATCCTTATTATAAACTCTGTAATTTAGCATCATGATAGTTTTAAGGGCCCTCGATCATATTATTTCTAGATAAGCGCGCATTAACCAGGAACCGTCTACTGCTGTTTTGGTGAATTTGGTCCGATTGGCCGAGCTAGTGCTCGTGCTCGACAGTTTTTCTTTTGATGGACATCATTATCAACAGATAAGTGGTATAGCCATTAGAACAAAAATAGGTCCCAACCATGCTAATTTGATCATTAAATTCAGTTAAATCGTCAACATTTTTTAATGTAACGTTAACAACAGTTGTGGACTGAAGACGGACATTTAAAATGTCCGAAACGTAGCAAAATTAATCAAGTTAATCTTTTGTATATATCCTTGAAAAGTAAAAACAAGAAATAAATTATGCTAATTTGTTTGTTGGTTTTGTGGAAAAACAGATCTTCGAACAATACATTGATCCCATCCCTGATTACCTTGGTAGGTACATAGATGACTGTCTTGGCACAGCGTCATGTTCTCGTGATGACTTGTATCGTCTTATTAATTTTGTTAATAATTTCCATCCAGCACTCCAGTCCACATGGGAGATGAGTGATACCAGTGTGTCATTCTTAGATATTAGGCCGTTTGCTGTGACCTCGAAAACTTCCTAGAAAACGATTTTCATTTCCCATGTCTTGGAACTAAAATATTTTTGCGGGAGTCCAGCCTAGACCAAGGCCTTCTATTTTTATTTATATATATATATATTTTAATATTCAGCGCTTTTTCACATGAAAAGACTGGGACTAGGTGATTTGGGGGCGGGGCGGAGGAAGGACGCAAGCCTGACGCAAGCGAAAAATCCGGGCTTACGGATCGAAAGCTTTGCAGTAATAAATTTACGTGGTGTTTCCAAAAACAAAACTACTATATATTTTATCGCCATGCAATCATACAAAGAACTTAAGGCCAAAACTGCCCTGAAACTGCCCTGGTTGCGAAATGCCCAATTATTGCGTTCTCAAACAGAATTGTTTGCAACTTAACAGCGAATTTAAACAGATACAGGGAAAATAAGCTAATTTATTATATAAAGTATAGGGCTTTATAGAGATTTCGAGCACTGATAAAAGTGATAATCTCACATGTGAGATTATTCATGATAGTCTCACATGTGAAAATTATCGCTTTTCAAAGACTTTTTCTTTATATAATAAACAGAATAATACATGGTGCTTGGAAATACCATGCGCTCACTCGTGAGATATCATGTTCAACACTCGAAATAAATCTGGTATTTCCGCGCACTCATGTATTATTCTCTATTTATAGTATAAACTTACTATTTTTATTTGTATACACGTCTACAAAATCGGGTTTTTTATCATAAAGTTTGAAGCAACACTATTATGTTGACAAGGTGTAGCGAAAGCACAAAATGAGTCAAAATATATACCAAAAGTAGAATCTTTCATTTTGTCTTATACACAACTACATTAATATATATTTTCTCAATTTTGGCAAGAAGAAGTCTTGTGTTTGTAAAATATTAAATATACAAACACATATACAATTATAATTTATTAAATAAAACGGATACATATATTATTAGCCCGTACAGTACTGTATAAAACGTACATTGTTTACAAATGGTGTAAAGAACATTACGAGGCCTGCATGCAGGCGACGATCTGAACCTAAAATCGGGCCAGTCACATGACTGAGCACATTGTTTTTGAGAATGAACACTTTTCGATATGTTTTGTAAGTTTGTATATTTGTAAGTGTGTTTGTCGAAGAAATATAGATTATGTAGACAAAGTTTCGGCTATAATTCATTACATGGCGCCCAACGTGGCCCAAGCGAAAATTCGAGCGATATTATGGCTGAAACGAAGGATAAACTCGATCGATTGAGGGCGAAACGAGGCGGTTATCGTGGCGTTTGTACGAAGTTAACTAAGGAAACCGAGGAAATAATTCATGCGGATGAAGTTGATTATGATAGATGCGAAGTTATTCGCTCTTTACTGGAAGAAAAATCGAAAATATTAACGGATATAGACGAGGAAATATTGGGAATATGCGAAATTGCGAGTATTGAATACGAGATCGAGGAATCAGCGGACGTTATGGGACGAATACTCAGTGCAAAACGTAAACTTGATAAGGTGAAACTCGAAGCGAAGAAAACGGGAAATACGAAGGCCTCAACGGTGACAATTCAACACGAAAATGGAAAGTATTGCGACGACAAACAGCGAAAATTCGAGCGAAGTTACGATCCATGCGAGCGATGTTACGAATCACGAGAGCGGTGGTGAATCGAGTGGAATTATTAATGCGAGCAATGGTCCACCGGAAGTTGGTAGTATGGGGGAACATGGGCAACAGAATCAAATCAAATTTCAGTATCTTCTTTAAAACCTAAGTTGCCAAAACTCACCTTGCCTAAATTCAAGGGTCAAGTCACCAAATGGGTCCCTTTTGGGACTCATATAATTCGGCTATACACAATAACAGTGTAATTTCAAAGATCGAATTATCTTAATTCCTTACTTGAAGGTGCGGCCCTGCGTGCAATCCAAGGTTTAACATTGACGCAGCAATCGAAATTCTAAAGGACCGTTTTGGGAGACCCCAACAAATAATCACAGCCCATATGGATGAGATCCTGAAAATACCAGCATGCACCGGTGAACGATTGGCTTCACTACGCTTTGTATATGGCAGTCTTAGTCATGTGCGGGGTCTACAGTCCCTTGGCGTATCGTCAGATCAATATGGCAGTCTTTTGATACCCATCATAATGACAAAATTAGCGAATGATATTCGACTTGAAATAGCAAGAAAGTCTGCCAGTGGTGTGTGGAAAATTGATGAATTATTGAACACAATTAAGTTTGAAGTGGAAGCGCGGGAGGCTAGTGAAGCAGCTAAGACAAATACCAGTGGCCCCTAAAATCAAAGAAATCAAGATGGTAATCGAAGTCGTGTCAAAGATCCAACAGCAACTGCATTGTTTGCAGCACAAGTGGCATGAAGGGCAAAATACAGTGTGTTTATTGTGGCGAATATCATTATTCGGCTTCATGTGAGAAAGTCGTGAGTATCGATCAACGAAGGGGAATTTTAAGACGAGATAGACGGTGCTTTGTGTGTTTGCAACGAGGTCATCGGGCAAGAGAATGTAACAAGGTTAATAACTGTAGGAAGTGTCGAGGATCACACATCAATCGATTTGTGCAACAGATCACCCAAGGCATGAAAACAAGGAGAAACCAGCAGACCAGAACGTGCAACAGCAAAGAGCGAGACATCTTTGAACAAACCCGAACAAGTTATAAGTACAACAGCCAACACAGGACACAGAGTCAGGGGTGCAACCCAAGTCTTACTACAGACAGCAATTGTCTATGCTCTTAACACAGAGAATTCCAGAAGTGTGAAGGTTATGGTTCTCTTTGACTGAGGCAGTCAGCAAAGTTATGTCACCAGTAGTTTAAAATCGAGATTAGGTCAGTCTGCCAGAAAAAGAGAAACAGTACATTTGAACACTTTTGGTGAAGAACAGTTTAAGAAACAAAGTTGTGAAATGGTTGAGCTAGGCATTCAAGGATTGGACGGTGTTTTACTATCGAGGTGAGAGCTCTAGCATTTCCAGTTATATGTTCACCTGTTGCTACACCAGTGGATATAGCGGAGTTTCCACAACTGGATGGACTTGAATTTGTAGACGAGATTAATGGTGCGAGTGAAACAATTGATATTTTATTGGGAGCAGATTATTATTACGAAGTTGTGACGGGAGAAATCATTAAGGGAGAGATGGGTCCGACTGCTGTTCAGAGTAAATTTGGTTGGTTGCTTACGGGCCCTGTCAAGCTATGTGGTGCAGTACCCACCTACACAGTTGCTAACTTGGTCATCGATGGCCATGGAACTACTCGTCCACCTGAGAATGAGAATCGCACGTTGACTTATGCGCTTAAGAGATTTTGGGATTTGGAATCCTTGGGTATAACCGAGACGAACGAAAGAAATGAAAGGAAGTTTTTGGAAGACATCAAGATCGAGGGTCAACGGTAGGAAGTCGGGCTCCCCTGGAAGGAGGATCAAAGGCAGTTGGTAACCCGTGATTTGGAACCTTGTACCGGTCGTCTACGGTCGTTGGTCAGCAGACTCAAGAAGGATCCAGAGCTTCTATCTGAGTATAACCATATAATTCAAGATCAGTTACAAAGCGGGATTGTAGAAAGAGTTCCATTAAATGAGCTTCACACCACTGGAGCTAATTACCTCATCATGGTGTTGTGCGAAGCGAGAAGGAAACGACGAAGCTACGAGTAGTATTCGATGGAAGTGCGAAGGAAAACGAAAGCAAACAGTCCATAAATGATCATTTGGACACGGGTACAAATTTCATACCATCATTGTTTGACACCTTGGTAAAATTTCGATGTTACCCGACGCACTAACTGCAGACATTGAAAAGGCATTCCTGCAAATCGAAATAAAGCCAGAAGATCGAGACAAGTTAAGATTCTTGTGGATGGACGACCCATTCAATGAGACGGACAATTAACTATCGCCTCGAAAAACACAAGGAAACTGAACCCGAGGCTGTGCAAGCTTTACAGGATTTGTATGTGGATGATTTACCGACTGGAGCCGCGAGTGAAGAAAAGGCTTTTGAAATCTACGAATCAACGAAGCGAGTTATGAAATGTGGCGGATTTAACCTTCGGAAATGGAAGTCTAACTCGAAGGCATTAAGCGATCGAATTGGCAAATATGAGACAATCAATGCATCTAAACCAGAAGATTTACCCGAGAAAGCAAGCGCAATTGAAGACGATCGCACGTACGTTGAAACTGTCGTGGGACCGCAAGCTGTTGACGAGAGCAAGACAAAGATATTAGGGCTCAGTTGGGACACAAAAGAAGACGAACTTTTTTTCGAGTTTTCCGAGATAAGAAGTTACGCGAAGCAACTTCCTCAAACCAAGCGATCGGTATTAAAAACTGCAGCGAAGTTTTTCGACCCTATTGGGTTTCTTAAGCCCGTTCTCCACTACGCGAATTTGTTCGCGCGACGCGAAGCGAAAACCGAAATCCGGCAACGTGATTGGTCGGCGAAAAAATTCGCGGCGAAAAAGTAGGATCGCTTCCTACTTTTTATCTGTTCGCGCGAATAAATTCGCCTAGTGGAGAACGGGCTTTAGTCCTGTGACAGTGAGATATAAAATGTTATTCCAAGCACAATGTAAAGAGAAAACGAAGTGGGATGAAGAACTGCAAGGTGACACGCTCAAGCTCTATAAGAAGTTACTTTTGGAGATGGAGAAATTGGGTGGGATAACGGTACCGCGATGCTATTTTGTTCCGATGATGAAGATTGTACAAGTTCAGTTACACGGATTCTCCGATGCTAGTGAACGTGCGTTTGTGGGAGTTGTTTATGTACGAACAGTTTACGAAGATGGAGTAATCGTCGTGCGTCTAGTCGCAGCTAAGTCTAAGGTTTTCACCAATGAAGCAAGCAATTCCTCCTTTGGAGTTACTCGGTGCCAATATTTTAGCTCGATTGTCAAGTTCCGTGAATAATGCTCTAGCGAATAAAGTCGGAGAACTGCGTAGATTTCATTGGAGAGATTCTTCAGCTGTTCTGTGCTGGATTAGAAACGAGAAGAGCTGGAAGCAATATGTAAATCAACGTGTTAAGGAAATTCGAAATTTGACGGATAAAGAGTCCTGGAATCATTGTCCCGGCGCAATGAATCCAGCCGATCTACCATCGCGAGGAATACGAGTTGACGAGATGGTTTCCAATCCCCTTTGGTGGAGTGGACCTGCATTTTTACAACGACCCGAGGAAGAATGGCCTAAACTGGGGTATCAGAAAGAAATCGATAAGGCAGCAGAGGATGAGGTCGTCAAACAACCAAAAACTGTCACGCGTGTGTTGGTTGGAGCTGTTGATGTGGCCTCAGTGATTGATTGTGATCGATTCAGTGATAAATTGAAGCTTCTGCGAGTAACCGCATACGTCAATCGGTTTATCTCTGTTTTCAAGAGCAGAGTTAAGGGAACCAACGAACAGGTAATTGTTCACGGTTTGAACCTCTCTGCGGCCGAAATTTTAAGAGCTGAAAATATGTGGATCCGGAGTGTTCAAGAATCGAGCTTCGCGGAAGAATTGAAATACTTGTGAAGTAAGTCGAAAGCATCGTCCCCGCCGAATGTTCGGAACTTAGGACTGTATGTCGATCAAGATAATATGCTAAAATGCAACGGTAGATTAAACAATGCGCCTTTCCTCGAATCAGAAAAACGACCGATACTTCTCCCATCCAAACACTATTTCACAAAATTGACAATTCGAAGGGTTCACGAAGACGTTAAGCACAGTGATATCAATCACACGTTATCAACGTTGCGTGAAAGGTTCTGGATGTTGCGAGGACGAGAAACCGTGAAACGAATTCTAAGAGAATGCATAGTATGTCGTAGGCACCAGGCAAGACGATTGTTAATTCTATCTTTAATGTTTAAACTACGAAATATAAGAGTCATTTAACTGTTTGTATTTTTATTCAAGTCTGGATTGAGTTTTTGGATAAATAAGGCTTCGGTAATTTTCCGTTCTACAGATCCTTTTGTTCTTTTTAAAATCTTAACAGATAGTTTAGGTTTTTGTCCGTAATGTTGGTCTAGATAGTGTTTCGAGAAAGCCATGTTTTTATAAGATTTTGCTTTCGGATTTGCTGCGGAACGAAACGAAACTGAAAATATACACTGTATTAACATGAGGCTTAGGAAAAGTTCGTTCCTAAACATATTTGAGGTTAATTAAACAGTAATAACTCGTTAATTGCTCCGCCTCTGTGGTCAGTTGAACAATTTTTATTCGAATTGATGTATGATCTGACTAATTACTAATTAGCAATTTGACATTTTTATGCAGTTATGCTCCTTCATACGATTTGATGCTATTTTAAGCTATTTAGATCATCTATGCTATACTATATATATAGTACCTATATAGGATAAGCTTTTGAGTGAGAACTCGAAACGCAGCAGCACGTGCGACTGTTTCACAAGGTGTGTACATTCCATAGTTTTTCTTTGATTCTAGTTTCATCATCCAATTTGATAAGGCAGGGTGCGATAATTCACGATTTTTAGTCCTAGCGCACAATAGTATTCCAATGATTACTGCCTAGTAGTTTAGAAGGTGCAAACGTAACAATCAAGGTGTAATTAGTTTTTAAAATGAAGTACACGAAGCACAGGTTTTTGAAAGGCGGAATTCATTCAGTAACCTGAAACTACGACGATTGCATACACAAACACTAGAATCAACTCCAACATTCCTTACTCATATAATTCTTTATTTCAAGACAAATCAGACGTATACCCACATACCGTCTTTTATAAGTACGACATGGTTCGTACAAAACGTAATTAAAAGGCCTTGAATGTCCTTGAATTTGTTAAGTAGCCACTTAACTTGAAAATCCTTACATTCTTCTTGCTTTAGTTTTTCGATATTTTCTGAAATTGTTTGACATTCAAAAGGGACATTTTGTTGAATTGATTTTATTTTTACTGATTTCTAATCTTTTTCTTCAGTATTTAGTGCTTGAATTTGCTGATACATGGCCTTGAATTTGACTCTTCCTTACATGTACGAACCCTGGTACGACTTTTAAATCAAAACTTTTAAACATTTTGACTGACAAATGCGCGGTTTTGTTATTAAGTCATATGGTACCAGCAAAATGTGTAAGAAGTATTCGAGAATTCCGCGTACCAACGTGGTATACTTGGTTAAAAAACAAATATATACTAGACCGTAATATTGGCGTATCTCTAGTACGTAAGTACGCGAGTTATTGCTCCCTGTAAGGTTGAGTGTGATACATTGCCCCGGATACAAACTCTCATGATGTAAGGCATGGACCATAGAACGCATGTTTCGCGCGTTATTCATTCTTTTCAAATCATCAGTTTTATATACCCATACAGTCAATATGTGCCAATCTGCTGCAAATACAGTCTATCTCTATTTGTGCCACTCTGCTTGTTTCATCTCTTCAAGATTATCAGCAATCTAGAATATTTCAAAAGCACATGTTTTGGTTGTATACCACGGTAAATGCAAGTGTACGAAAATGGCGGAAAAAATTTCTGCCAAAATAATAAGGGTATAGGAAAACCGTTTACTATAAGGAAACGGTTGAGGGGTTTAAGGTACGGAGTTTCACCGCTTTTTCACGAAGCGATACTGAGTTTAAATAAACTCTCGTAACTTTTCTTTAACCATTTTGCTAGAGCATCCTAAGATAATACTAGTGCCAGTCGTTCGAGTACAAGCAGTAAATACGCGGACGTTTGACAGCGGTGTTACACTGCAATAGATCTTTGTCAGGACTTGACAACCCCGCGTTGCAGGATTTTTGGTGCGGTCTGGGTAAATATATTTGCCGAATGCGAAAGAATATTTCGCGGGTTCAAGTTTTGCGACTTGCCCTTGTAACCAGCTCCGATTCAAGGTGAAAAGAACTAATTCTTTCAGCCAGTCCATCGATTAAGCGACTATTTGTTTTTGTTTTTCTTCCGAAATCGATTAATCGGAACATCTATAACAATCCTGCACAATATGATTGATTCATTTTTTTAGATATCTGGTAGCACTTATAACATGTTGAGTCATTTAGTCGGCATGATGTCTTTTAAAATTTAAACTACGATGTTTTTTAATATATAAACTAAACATCGTCATTGTCTTGTCAGTTGTCTATACCTGTGTGAACTGTGCGCGCACGAAAAAGTGCTCCATTTGCACAATCTATAAACTTCAGTAAACAATGATTTATAATCAATACGATTAATCAATATCAATTAATCGATTGTAACTTGTTGACTGATTATGAGAATGAAAAGCTCTAAATCCTCCAGTGGCGTAGTAATAGCGACGTGTGCCTATGAGTTCATACATCGTCGGTACGATTCTCCTTTTTTGTAACGATTTTCAAAACAAATTCAAACATTTTCGCCTACTAATTTTGACTGTCTAGGGTTATTAGTCTATAAATACAACAACGCATATTGATTACTCACAGAGAATTCACATCCTGTTTCTACTTGGATTTCATGAATACTCGTACCAGGCCAAATTTCCACCAACGTCAAACCGTTTTCACGGTCAACTTTAAACACGCACTAAAACACGAATTAGAATAAAAAGACACGATCTTTTACCGTTACATACTGTATGTAGCTTAAGTACGATGTAGCTCATTCAATTAAGATTAACCGTAAAACCTCGATCTCTAAGTGCATAAGGCACGATGAACTTGCAAATAGTATCAACACTCCGTAGTTACGGTTGCTACGTCTTACAGTCTTACAAGACGTTTTGGTTTTGCGTGAAAAATTTACGATTTGCAATTTACGCCAAATTCCCGTGATTTTCGCCTATTTCGGATTTCTATAAACTCCTCTAAACCAATTCAACAGCAAATGCGCGACAGACTTCTCTGGGAATTAAATTCACTTGATTAGAACAAATAGTGGACAACATGCATAATTATACGTCAAAGGTTTATAAGAGGTTGTGACTTTTGACCTTCCGAGAACAACTTGATTGAATTAACTGCATACTGAAAATATTATATAGTACAGCTTTGATTTACTGCATTTTGGCAACTCGTTTAAAAATTATACTGCTGCATAGAAATAGTATACATTGCAAGTATTTTCGGAAATATCCGATAAAACATGCACGAGTGTTTTGTTACATTCTCACAGAAATTAAATAATGACATAATTAGTTTCTAAAGGCATATGCGAGTAACGAAATTATAAATGTTATGCACGCATCGAAGTGTATATACATGAAAGACAAAGTTTCTAAAAAGTCCTCTATGCATCCATATTTTGGGCATACGATAATCTATTTAATTACTTCTAGCTTATTAACAGTTTAAACTACTGTAACAGGGTTTCCACCCTGATGAAAATCAAGGACTTTTCCAAGATTTTTAAAGACATTTTTCTGATCAGTAATTCAAAGCTCGAAAAATCTTTTGAAAGTGGCACGCTTGGGTTTATTATTTTCAAATTCAAGGACTTTCCAGGATTTTCAAGGCCCGTGGACAAACTGGCTAAATGGGCTTGGTACAAAAGTTCCCTGTACCAAACGAGCCTGAAGTTAAGAGATTTGGAAAAATGGAAGAAAATTAACATATATACAGTATATAGTTTGAGAAATTTGTATTTTATCCATTAACGATAATCATGCAACTGCTAGCTATTCCAAGGAAGACTAAACAAACCTTTTCAGTGATTATGGAGTCCACGCATCGCTCACCAGTCAATGGTAACGTACATTCCTCAAGTATTTTGTGCTTTCCACCCTATACAGTAACAAGATAAGTCAAATTTAACGGTAGCATCGCAGCAATTTTAGTAGATACGTACAGCATTCTACAAAACAATTCGTATAGCATGCCTGTGGATTTTAGTTTTGAGGAGGTAGCCAATTATCGAATGAAATTAACTCGCGGCTTATAGATAACAACAGTTCTCGTCAAAAATCCTTGGCGCACTTAGTCAAAATAGTAAAATCTGATTGGCACATACATCCTTGTGCATTTTATTGACGATTTCATGTTCAGACTCGCCCCCCCCTGGCAACTAGAGTAAAGCAAAAACCTTGGCCGTATGCTCCATGGTAACGACAACTTTAGTTCCCGGACATGAAACTAAGTCCATAGCTCCTCCCATTCCTTTTACCATTTTGCCCTAAAAAGGAATAAAGCATAACAGAGGAATGTACGGCTAATCCAAAAAAAGTTTTCCTTCGCAAACTCTAAACCTTAAACTGCATGTATGCGTGCGAAACATAATGGGAGCATTATTTAATCGTGCCCATATGGCCCATTTCTTAGAGACGTGGTAAATATCTCCTTACGAGAACGATTCATTCACAAACAGCTATAATATTCAATTCAACTTGTAAGCTTGAAACTTGTGCTCCTCTTAAGCTTTGCGCGCTTAGAGTTTAAGGTTTAGAGTTTATACTGCACGGACAAGCTTTTTTGGATTGGCTGTATATTTAGCATTAAAGATAATATGAGTTTTTCTTATAGAGCTGCTGAAGGGTGGAACGAATTACCGAGTGAAACAACTGATGATTTGTATCAT